CACCACCTGTTCCTCAAGTCTCTGAATTACAGTGAATACAGTGGTTCAGACAGGACCTGGAGATGGTAGGTAAGGAATTCCTCAAGATTTTCTCCAGCATCTGGCTGATGTACATTATCTAATGGGATCTCCACCACGCCTGTTGGTGATTTTCCCCCTTCACCTCCTGAGAAAAATGTTCCATTGCTCACCACTTCAGAGGGCTGGGTGTGGGGATGGGGGCACTTCTGTTCCTGACAACCTCATTATGTGGTTGTCAGGAACAGACAATGCCCAGGTTGTCACGACAACCAGCAATGATTCAAAGCTTCCCTGAAAGGTCCGTATCTCTGGCAAATAATCAGCCTTTCGCTCTCAGCAGATGCTGAACTGAGCAGCCAATCACAGGTGAGCTGGGAAAGCATGACATCATAGTCCAGCCGGTCCGAAAAAAATCAAAATTAAGATTTGGTTTTGTGTTTCTCTCCTTGGTTCTTTGTCCCCTAAATTTTGTCCTGCACTTTTTCCTTCTCTCTGCTGTTTTCCTAGTGAAATGGGGAGAGCAATGAAACCAACTTTCCAAATTCAGTTTACTGTGCAGTTTGACTTAGGTTTGGCAGTGCAGTGATTGGAGCGCATGGGGAAGGAATGTGTAATGGGATCCACTTCGGAGCAAAATGAAACAGAGCATCCACTCAGTTAAATAATGTGGTTTGATATAGGATCGTGATAAAAGTGAGGCTAATTAAAGCCAAGTCAGGAGAGGAAATTTCCAATTCTCAGATTAGTTCATCCAGAGCCACCTGCATTTAATTGTCTTCTGCTTTGTCTTTGCTAACTCCCTAGTAGAAGGGAGAAGGGCAGAGGTTGTGGGCTTTTGAAAGCTCCTAGGTTCTACTGGGTAGGTCTCTATTGGGTGCTAATTAAGGTTAAAGAAAGTGAAGAAAGAGCCACACCCAGCTCCCATTCCCAAGGTCCCACTGTACAGGGAGCATATGTAAATGGAGACTCATCAGGTCTGTTAAGGAGCTCTGAAATCTGTTAAACCCGCTTTTGTTCCATTAGCCATTTGCATCCATGTAAGAGTCCAGGGACAGAGAGGCAGGGCATGTTTCCCAGAGCAGAAAACTAAAGCCCAGGGAAATCTGAGTCTTGCTCAAGATTCCCTAGCCAGAGGGTAGGCTAGAATCTTGGTCTCCCAATTTCCTGGCCAGAACTCTGAAGACCCAAGGAGCCAGTGATTTCCTAGCCGTGGGCCTCCCTCCTTTCCCATTATGTGGTTGTTAAGGGACCTCAGATGAGACCTTTTGGCATCTCTGAGGCTCCTTGTTCTTTGCCCAGCAGGCTACCCAACATGTTGCCTCATACAGGAGAGCTGGAGCCCCTAATGATGGGAGTCAGGGGCAGGAAGGAAGAGCCCCAGTAGGGCCTGACTAGGGTGATGGCAACAGGTTGTAGCGAGCAGGCCCCAGTGAAGGAGGAGTGGGCATCGTACTCCTAGCCAGTGCCTTGAGCCCTAGCTGCAGAGCCTGGGTCTTTTGTATTCAGAATAGGAGGGTTTTGTTCTTTTTTCTTTTTTAAAGTGCACCTGTGGAAGCAAAAGCTGTGAAGACTGGGAGCTATAGAGACCCAGAGTCCACCACTGGAAACAATTTCTAGCAGTGGGAATTGAGGCAGGGGTAGGAAGGGAGCCAGAATATCCAAGCTGGTACACAATAACCTTTATTGCCACATCTGAGCCACTGACCTAGCCTCAGGCCCCCTTCGGGAGAGCAGGAATGGTTTTTTGTTTGTTTTGTTTTTGTCTTAACCCAAAGGAGGCTATGTTTTCCCTTTTTAATGCTGCTTACATACAAAACACTGTATATGCTAATTGTAAAAAATGTACAAACAATGCAGAATTATATAAAGAAAACAGTTAACAGCCGCCCAACATATACCAGTTAATACCCACAACATACACCCACATGTCTTTCTTCCCACCTTTTTAATTCCTAGAATCACTCTATTAGCAGCTTGCTGTGTATAATTCCAGCTAAAACACACACATACAAAAATTGTTTTAAACAAAAATAATAGTACACGTGCTGTTCTGCAACTTTTTTCATTCAAGAATGTGTTGAAGTATGTTTCTATTTCAAAACATAGGAATCTACTTGATTCATCATATTCCAAAATATGTGTATATCATAGTTTATTGAACTATTCTCTTATCGAGGGACATTTAGGTTGTCCTTCATGTAAGTTTTTTTTTCATTCTTAGATAAGATTCAGCAATGAACATACGTGACCATATCTTGTCATGTCTTTATGAATATATTCATAGTCAGATTCCTTGAGTTGACATTGCTTGGTCAAGTGGCATACATATTTAAAAATTTCCTAGAGATGGCCAACTTGCCCTCTCAAAAGGCTATGCCATTTTACACGCCCATCAGTGGTTTATGAGAATCAGCAGTGTTTCCTCTATCTGTGATTTGACTAGAGCAGTTTGAAGATACTCATTTTATTTTACTTCTGTTGCTACAAGCTTCACCCCACAGCCTCTCCCTTCTCATGTGACTCAAGGGGCTGGTTGGGTTGGTGGGAACCAAAGGAGAAATACAACTGAAGCTTCCAGGGAGGGTGGCAGCAAGAACACAGAACTGAAAGTGGAACACCCCATTTCTAGGACCATCTCTCTGAGGCATGTCCAATGCTCCAGGCTACTTTAACGCCTGGGCATCTGTTCACTCATCTATGAAGTGCTGGTCCTCCTAATTGCCACAGTACACTGTTGTGGTTATTGTGAGGAGGAAACAGGGAGATACAAAAGTGGTTTGTAACCTGAGAAGCAGAATACACATGCCAAGTAGTCATTCTGGCGGTGGTGGTATTACATCTTTAAATCAATGAACTTGGGGAAGAGAATGGGCAGTGGGAGTTGAGTGGGAAAAATGACACAGGTGAAATCTTTAAGACATTTCAGCTTCCCTGAGTGTTCCCATGCGGTTGTCCCACATTCTTGGAGGACAAATCACATCGACAGTAAAGACTGCTTTATGGTATCAAGAATAAGATAGGTTATCATCCTTTCATAAGAAGACTGAAGTCTTTTGTGTTAGGCATGGATCCTACGTCCAGTCCTCTTTCTATGACACCGCTATGCTTTAATTTATCAAGCACCTAATAGGATTTTGGCCCCGTGCTAGTTTCTGTAATCACCAGGGAGAGAAGAAATACACACATGAAATGTTTAAATAACCATGTGCAGTGACTGCATAAATAGCCCTGAGTTACAGCTGATGTATATGAGAGGATTAGAGTGAAATCAAATACCTTTTAATTACAATTTAAATCAATAGCCTAGAAGACCCAAGTTAAATCATTAACCTGGAAAATCCAGTTACATCTTCCTATTTCTTATAAAAGAAGGGTTTTTATTTAAAATAACCCAATTAAGTGCATCTTACAAATCAGAGATTTAACATCAAGTAAATGGCATTCATTTAGATCAGTGATTTTTTAGATTACTTTTACCATCATGTAAGAACAAAAATCAGTGTGATGGATTCGTTTTTAACCCCAAGGTTAATTAAAAAGATATCTGTAAAATCACTGGAAGCAGAACTCTCCTGACTTCAACCTATTAATCAGGGATTTGAGGAGGATGGTGATGGGTGTTTTTGCAATGGAAGACAAAAAACCACCACGACACACACACACAAACTATTTTAAAATGCCTGATTTAAAAAGAAAACACCAATCTGGTATACCCCTGGGGTTTTTTTTGGAAGCAAATACCTATTTTAACAAAACCAGTCACCATGTGTCATATTAGGAAAAGCATGGGCTTTGGACTTAGATCTAGATACAGAGTTCTACAGTGTTCATGTAATACTCATGTATGCATAAAAATATTTTTGAATTAAGGAAAACAGAATGTAAAATGCAAAGTGATCCTTTAAAAAGTCTAGAGTATATAGTGTACTTAACTCTTTGCCTACATCTTTCCTGCCTTTTCATATATTGAAAAGGTCATCATTCTGTTTTCAATTCCCGGTATCACCACAGTTTCAAATGAATTTGTCCAAAGAGGCATCCCATTCTCCAACTTCACCAGATGCTGTCTCTGGTGAATCTAGATGCCCATTTGGTTACTTTTCTTAAAAGGACCTAGGCAGATATATTAGTTTATTCTTGGTCTTGAAACTTAATTTTGTTGGCATATGGAGAAATGATTGCTGGATGTTACAGGGGTACTGAGAAAATTGGGTAACTGCACTGGAAAGGGTAGTGATCCATTTTCACCTTCTAACTATGTGAGGATATATTCATCTTTATAAAAACGTTTAAAAGTGGAGAAGAAAAAAATCACTCATAATTACTTCAACTCATCTATTATAACTTTTTCTTAAAGACAAGAGAATACCGGGAAGATTTTATTTAATGAAATTAAATGTGTCTCCATATCTGTATCTATATAAATTTGAAGTAAGTTACTTTTTTTTTTGTATAACGCTCTGTATTTTGAAATGTGTTTCATGCGCAGAAATGTAGTTTCCTTATCGAAACTATCATCTTTGAATCCCCCTGCCATTTCTGCCACACTGAGTTTACTGTGCATTTCAGAGACTCCATCAGTGTAACCTGCTTGCCTGACAGGTACTGTCCCAAATCCAAACCACTTTCCTCCAGTCAAGAGTGCCCGTGTATTTGGACAGATTTTCTCCCCTGAAAATTTATCTGAAACCCCAGTCTTCCCTCTTTATGGCCCCACCTCCGTCTAGACCAGTCTGATGGTGTAGAAGTTTCCATCTCCTTTGCCTTTCCCTCACCCTGTTCCCACCACCCCTTCAGGTTTTTTTCCCCCTCCCAGGCGCTTCCTGCCTGGAAACAAAAGATTGGTCCCAAGTAGCCCACTCAGGGCGAGTTTAGTTGTCTGCTCACCCTCTGATTGGCCTCTGTACGGTGCAGAGCCCGGTGATGTCATTGTAGAGAAGGGCTGGGGAGCGACTGCCGAGCAGGGCTCTACCGCGGCGGGCAGCTGTGGGCAGCGGACCGTCGGAGGTCTCGCGCAGGGGCCTGCAGCTTTGCCCGGCCTGGAGCAAGTGTGCGGGGCCGGGAGGAGAGCCAGGGTTGGGGTGGGGGAGGAGCGGGCCGGGCCCGGGGCTGCGGCTGCGGCCGCGGGGCTGCGACTCCCCAGCCCCGCCAGCCCGAACGCTCGGAGGGAGAGGCAAGGTCTTGACAGGGTGGCTGGACCAGTGGCAGGTAAATCCCGCGTTATAACGGCAACTGGCTCGCTCCGGGGAGTGGGTGGCGGCTGAGCCTGCTTTTAGGCTGCTGGGCAGCTTGTCTGCCTTCCCGGGCCCCCCTCCCGCTGTCGCGATGCCCCAGCCTTGAGTCCTGTGCGTGTTTCCCCTGGAGCCGAGCGCGCAACCGACATCCCGGATCGCGAGCGCGGACAAGTGGGTGTGTCAGGACTCTCCTGGAGGGCCTGGGCCCCTTGGCTGGGTCAAGCCCGAGACTCGCTTACCCGGTCTTGGGCAGCTTGAGGCAAAATCTGCCCCAAAAGCTACGTCAGCCTGCAAGTCGTAGACCATCTTCCCGGCCCCCTCCCCGAGCCACGGCAGCGGCGCCGACAGAGGCTTCCCCCACCAACCCCAGAAGGGGAGGGGGTGTGGCCGCGTCCGGGCGAGGGGGAAGAGCTCGACATGAACAAACAGAAAAAGTGACGATTTTCATAACAGGGGGCCTTGCCCTTCCTTTTATTTTCTTCTATCCCCCCCCCCCATTTTTTGGTAGGGGAAGGACAGTGACAGCAGGACCGCGTTCTTTCGCTGTGGGGATTGGAATGATGCAATAATACCCCGAGAAAAGCCTAGGGTCCCTGAGTTGGCCTTTGTCTTTGTTTGGGGAGCAGGGTCATTAGTTCCACTGCCCCTGCTTCCCTATCCCCCTCAGCTCGTAGGGGCCTTGCCCTCAGTTTGTGAACTGGTTCTGGCAAGATTACTGCCACACTTTTGGGCGGATGGAACATTGTAGGTTCTTGCTCTCTCAGGTTTTCCTTCCCTAGGTGGTGCTTGAGGGGTCAGGTGGGGGGAGAAGCGGGATTGCGCTGCCAGCAGGGAGGGAGCCAGAGACCCCACTGGTTTTTTGGTTCCGCCTTCCAGAATCCACTGGCGGACTCTGGACTTGAGGGTTCTGGCTGTGGTCTGTAGGAGCGAAGAAGAGAAGGGTGAGTGGCTTGGCTTTGGGAAGCATGAAGGGGGCGGTTGCAGTGCTATTTTTTTTTTTTCATGGCTTTGAGCAGGGAAGACTTTAGCCATGTTAGCCTTGCTCCCTCCATGGTTTTGCAGACTCAAATCCAGGCCAACTGGATGGCTGTCTGAGGTGTTGGAACAGAAGGAGGTCCATTCCTGTTGGTGACAACACTGTGGCCCTGTTCTGGGATGACCGAGGTATAAAGGTCAGTGCGGTTTTCACTGGGCCATTTCAACCTTATAATTGGGCAGGTTTGTGATTTAGTATTTGAAGCCCCTAATCAGGGGCACCTTTGGGCAAAGGGGCTTAATATGGTAATGGATGATTGATAGGCAGGGCCTTGGAGAGAGAGAGTCATGTAAGCCTCTGCTTCTGGGTCTGAATGTCATGCCTCCCTCCCCCATGAAAGAGGCAAAATAGGAAGAGACTGGAATGTATACTGGGTAAAAGCTGACAGCTGAGAATCTGGAGGCCAGAGGGACCTTAGATGTCAAGGAGCAGGCCCTCAAAGCCTCCAGGCAGGCCAGTGAGCCTTAGAGGAGATCCGGCAGAAATAAGAGGTTCACCTGTGATAGGGGCACAGGCAGGGGGCCACGACACCCAGATGTTTAGACTAGTTGACTATCTCACAGGTTACAGATTTTCTGGTTCGAGGCGGAATTGGTGTATGGAGCAAACAAGCTTGCTGAGGTGTTTGAGGGGAGAGGAGTGGCTATGACAGGTAAGGGAAATGAGGAAATAACTGATGATAGGGAGGTGCTGCCTCCATCAGAGACTCGAGTGGCCAAGGGGGAGAAAATCAGATCTAGACTTCAGGTAGATTAAGTAGGTAAGATCAGATGGAGTAGGTAGGAACAAAGCCATAGAGAGACAAGAAGGAAAAAGCCATTGTCTTACCAGGATCCCAAAGGCCCTGATTTCCCTGATGAGATGGGGAAATTTTGGTGGTTGAGGCACCTGTGGCTCCTCCCAGACTTAGGGGGATGAGTTGTCTGTATTTGGAGAATCGATAGCATTCCCACTGGTGTAATCCACCTACAGGAGCTGGTAACTTCGGTCAAGGGAAGAAGAAACTCCATGAGTGGCAGCCTCAACAACTGGCTCTTTCCTCCTGGGTAAGGGAAGGGAGTGGGGATGGGGGGGAGCCAGGGTTCCGAAGGGGAGTTGGGGATATTTGAAGGGCTCAAGACAGGTAGGTTGACTATTTTTACGTGAGGTGGGCTGGAGCCAGGGCTGGGCCCCCTGCTCCAGGCATGGGGATATCTGCTGGTACTCAAAAAAAAAAAAGCCTACTTCTCAGGGACCCATGAGACCCTGTATGGGCAATGGACAGTGAAAACCACTGCCCTAGAAGGTAGGTGCAGCTGCTGAGGCATCTGGGCTGCAGCTTCAGCTGCCCTGCTGTTCCCCACCTGCCAGAGGCTAGGTGTTTACCTCTGCAGGGCCTGGGGTGGCTTCGTCAGCCAGAGTCGGCACTATCCAGCTTCTCCAGCAGGGGGCGGGAAAGGGCAGCAGCGCCCAGGACCAGAGTCTTCCATTTGTGGTTTGAAGCCTGAGCCTTGGGTCAAGTAACAGCCATAATTTTAAAATCTAATTTAGTGGTACCAGAGAACCAAATGAATCCCTGGGCCTGGCAGTCCATTTCCATCCCCCTCCCCCACGCCCCACAAAAAAGTGTCACTTCCTACTACGCTTTGTGACTTTGAAAGGTATTTGCATTTATGTACGCAGTGATTACTGTAGTCACTAATACACACCGCCTAACCAGGATTTTTAATTGGAAATGTTAATCAGTGCAATGGGTCCGTGTCTGATTTGCACATTCGGTCAATTATCTGCAGTTTGGGGCAATCTCAGTGGCACCCCAGGGGGATGCAGTGCAGAGCAAAACAGCAATAGCTAGAGCTGGATCTGTGGGTGAGAAGCAAAATGGGGGATTTGCACCCTGAAGACTGGAAAGAGGTGAACAATTTACTTGTGGGGAATGGAAATCATTCCAAAGGTGTGGGCACGGAAAGGCCCAGGACACTTATCCTCGTAATGGAATAGGACAGTCTTGGAGCCTACACAGTGGACAAAGAGGCCAGGGTTTTGCCCTGAGGTGGGACAGTGCTGGATTTGGAGAAGGAAGTTTTCAGGGACTAGAGGACCAACAGTTGGGGTGGAACAAACCCTGGGAGTCAGAAGTCAGGTGGTGTGGTCTGTTTGTGGCCCTCTCTGGGCCTCACTTTTCCTTGCCTCTCAAATGATGGGCTTGGACTAGGTGGTTTCTAAGATGGTCATGACATTTTAGGAAGTGGGTCCATTTGTTCTTGGTAATAACAGGTCCGCTAAAGGACAACCCCTTCCCCACACCAGGCAATTTATCCCTACAAAATCTTACTTATTGCTATGCCCTCCAATTTTGGGGAAAACAATGCAAAACAAGCCCATGACTACTACACATTTCATCTCTTTCACCGGTGCAGCTTTACTTTTATTTCTTGTGAATGGGGAGCAGGAGGGAAAAAAGAACCCTATGTGGAGTATCTACTAGGAACCCTATAACCAAGCCCCTGAAAAGCTCTATGGGGGTCTTACACATTGTGGGTAGGGAGGGGCAGATGGGCACTCTGGCCTTGACTCCCTAACTTAGCCTCAAAACAGAAGGGTCTGGGGTGAGGGTGAAGGAAGAGCCTGGCTTAAACTGTGTAGCTGTTTCCTGCTGTCTTTCTGCCCCATCTGTCTCTGAACCAGGTGGGCTTTTTGGAATTCTGCACCCTACAGAGACACTGCCCCTAATAATCAGGACAGTTGCGCCCTCTAGTGACCGCAGCAGGGACAGCTTTGGCAGAGCTCCCCATGCATCCCATGGTCAGCTCCTGGGCCAGCGCTAACCCCTTGTGCCACTGTTACTGCCTGTGGAGAAGAGCTCCAGTCCTCCCAACTGGCTTAAAGGAGAAACTGGGGCAACGGCAGCTTCCTGCAGGCCCTTCTTCTACATGGACGGGGCTGGGAGTTGGGAGATGGAGCCATCTCCCTGATGCCCACTTTCATTCTTTGGGCCTGAAAAAGGGTCCAGAACTCCTCTCCCAGCTGTCTTCAGTGCTCGACCAGGCACCTGCCTGGGAGGGCTCTGTGGCAAAGAGGGTGGTTGTCCACAGTAGTTGTCCCCAAGGTGATAGCCCTAGTCCCCAGACAGAGATGCGTGCAGGAAGCTAGAAAGCAGGAAGGCTGCTGTGCTGGTAGGCACAGGATACGTGTACTGATGCCTCCCCCAGCCTCCAGTAGGAGGATATGCCACAGGTGCAGACACAAGGCAATATGGACACACAAAAAACAATACACACAATTATGGCATAGATATATGACACACAGTATGGATTAGATGTGTGGCACACACACAACACGGAATAGATACAATACACATGCAACCCAGTGCAGACCCACAGCACATGCACAATATGGTATGGACAGAATACACATACATGGCATAACGTGAATACAACTGCATACACCCCCAGCGTGATGCACACTTTCACACTCCTCAATGTTGTATTGATATGACATGGCACACACACACACAACGTGGTACAGGAGCAGCAGAGATATACTTGCCCCAGCATGTGCTTACACACAGGATACAGCTCCCCACTCCCAACACGCTCAGCCACAGGCAGGCAAGAGGAGTATGGCCACCAGGGGGAGTGCTGTGTCCTGCCAATCCCATCAGCTTTGGCCCCAGCTGGGCCACTGGTGGGTTTGAAGCAGGTTGCTATGGAGTTAAGCAGCTGAGAGGAGGTGGAGGTAGGCCTAAAGAAAGCTCTTGATCTTGCAGAGAAACCTGAAGGTGCTTGGTTAGTACAGGCTGGTGCATCCCCCCCACCCCCACTGTTGTCCCCCACTTCCATGAGTGCATGCAGCCTCCAGGGATAGGCAGTGGACTTCTTGTGGCCATTCTCTCTGGAGCTTTGGCAGCCCTTACTGCCCTACCCCCAGTCCACCTCCCTGCAGGATGAGCTCATGCACCAAGGGAAGGGCAGGCACACCACTCCAGGGCAGGGGCTGGGATCTGGAAAGACTACATGGAATATGTGTGTTGGAAGCACATGGAATGCCAGGTTGCTGGAGGCAGACATGCTCTGCAGGCTTGCCATGAGTTAGTGGCAGACCTGGGGTATGGCTTGGTCTTTTTATTCAAGAACGGGGAAATTGGGGGTCACAGGGCTTTTCTTGGCTCCTTGAGGCTTCACTTTTACTGTCTCCACCTTTAGCTGACCACCCACCCATCCATGTCTATGCATGGGGACCCTGTACATTGGTGTCCTTGAATAGGATGTGCGCTGGCCTGGATCTGGCTTTGTTGGGAGTTGGCATATAGGTGCTGGTTTTCTTCTGAGGACACAACAGCATGGAGGGAAATGGGGAGGGCAGGAAGGGTGGCAGAGCATGGAGTGTCATCAAAGGAAGCTCCGTCTCCTTGAGAGGCTCAGTTGATGGGGAAAGGCAGAGAAGGGAAGGTTAAAGAGAGCCTGGCTCCTTCATGGTAGGACATGGAAACCCCTGCAAGGAAGATAGGGCAAATTGTCACCAAAATTGTATTATAGAATATATTCACCCTAAGAACTCTGGGGAAGACTGAGGAGGACATCCCTGTGATGGAGATCAGGGGAAGGCAGAGGAAGTTCTCATTAGGATCAGAGGCTGAGGCCCTCAGCGGCTGTGAGGTGATAGCAAATTAGGGAACCTCAGAGTGCTCTGCTGACCCCTGGCCCAGTGAAGGCGCTTGTTGAGAAGGGAAGTGGAAGTGGAAGAGGATATTTGGGGTGGAGGGATGAAAGAAATGGAACAGCAGTGCCAGGTCTTCAGGAAGCTCAGGTATCCTCAGGGCCTACCTGGATTTGCTATCACCTCTCAGCTTCCTATTGGACGCTGGACTGTGCCACCTCCCGTAAATGTGCAAATACTTCACCTCTGTTATACGCTTTAGTCCTCCCACATGTGCCCAGGGTGACTGTTCCAAGGCAGGTCTGTTCCACTTGTTAGCAAGCAGATCCAGAGTGGGGAAGTGTCAGCAGTTTCCAGCTTGAACCTCCCAGTTCAGGGCCCTGTTCTGCATTCCTATACAAACACCTTTTTGCACTTCTCGCCTCTCTGATTCTCTGCCTTCTTAAGGAATTTTCAGAAATTCCCTATAGTGTGTATGTGTGTGTGTGATATTTGGGGGGCTGGATGAGGGGCTAGTAGCAGCTGGGGAAGGAGGTTCCCACTCCCCCACAATGCTTCTCTCGGCAGGTTTCCCCCAAGAAAGAGCAGCCGAGTCCTTGCATCTTGCGGCAGCTGGCGCGCCCAGCACTAAGTCTGTGGGAGCTGAAGGCAGCCCGGTCCCTTCTAACGGGCAGCACCCACCTGTGCTGAGGTCCTGCAGCGGTGGCAGTGCAAGGTGAGTAATGGATTCCAGGCCAGGGAGTTAGGGATCTCTGAATCCAGGTAAATGCCACCTTTCCACCAGAGCTCCCCATTAAAGATACTGCCCAGGCCTCACCAGCCAGGCATCAGGAAGCAGCCCCTATTTTCTGGGGGATTGTGCCCCATATGGTGGCCCTTGGTCACGTGCTTCTCCAATCTCTAGTATGGGAATGGCAGCCTTGACCCACATCCTGGGGTGAGTAAGAGAAACAGCCTAACAGTCGTTGCCAAGGGCTTTGCACAGGTCAAGCTCCATCTAAGAACTTCAGTGTAACACAGATGTGCTTCCTGTCAAGCTGTCATTTCCCTCCTCCTGCTTTCCTTTCCTGATGTGAAGTGGCATTTCAGCCACATGCCACAAACTCACCAATCAGTTCCTATAATGTCTGCTGCCCCATAAGCTTACTTTTACCTTCCTTTTCAAGGTGTACTCCCACCCCGTCCATCCCAGCTTCTGGGCCTGGCAGGCTTAATTTAAACCTTCCAGAACCTTCCCTCTGCCTTCCCACCCAACCAGGGAGCACTTTCTCCCCCAGCTGTCAGCATCATTTGAGTCTGTAGTGTGTAGTGTAGCTCAGCTCTTGCTTCTGTATGTCTTAAATCATTCATGTGTGATTTCTGGAGTATTCATCTTGGCAGGTTAGCTAGACTGCAAGCTCTTCAGGGGTAGGGGCTAGATCTCACAGGTCTCTGGTCTCTCTTTCAAGTGCCTGATGGTTCCCCCACAGTTTTTGCGTGAGGGCCTCTCTCTTCCTCTTCACTTCTCTCAAGTTTCCTGGACTGTCTCTTGGGTCATCCACCTGTCGCTTTTCTGCTCAGGCAGTGCTTACAGCTCTCTCTGTTGGCTTCTCTATCTGGCCTTCTGTTGCTGTATGCTACAGTCCAGTTGCCTGTCTGTATCTCCCTGTCCCTCCACCTCCGTCTGGTCTTCTGTCCGTCGTTTGCCAGTTGCTTAGGCAGCTCTCACAGCGCCCAAGTCAGAAACAATGAACCAAGCAACATAAACAGCCAACAAGAGAAACACAAACAGGCATCTGCCGTGAATTCCCTTTCACGCTGAGCCTGCACTGGGCCTGCAGACAAAGGACCCTGCCACTTAGTGGCAGGTGTTTCTGTGATGCCCCTTTGTGCAGGGCACGCTTCCGAGTTTCGGCCGTGAAATTGAAGGTATGAAATTACAGCCTTGCTGATACTGATGCATTCAGCTTCCTGGAGCTGCTCTGGTAGGGGATCCTCTGCAGGCCTTGAGCAACAGAAGGTAACTAGAACTGTCTACAATGAGGAGCAAGCCCCTGGATCTCCCTTGGGTGTTCCATGACAGCTGCAGTAATAACTTGTATTTATTGAGTGTCTACTGTTGCCGGCACTGTGCTAGACATTTTACCTGAGGGACACCATTTGACCCTATAGTAACACTGTCAGGTACGTATTTTTTCTAATAGTTTCTGTTCTTGTTTCTGATTGTAGACGTGATTCTAGTTCGTGGTGTCGCTGTTGTTATCATCACTGTTTACCAGTGAGGAGATAGAGGTTGAGAGGGGCCAAGTAACTTGCCTGTAAGTGCACACACATTGTGTTTTTGGAAGGACACTTCCTAGAGAGTTTCTCAGCCTCCCAAATGATTTTAGTACCCTTCAGGGCTCATACATATGCACACACATATACACACACACTCTCTCTCACAAGTATACTGTGTGCTCTTGTACATTCATACAATCATATCTACCTCCTTGACTCACACTCACTTTTTGCACTGGACACATTCACGGTGGCAATCACTCTTACCTCCTCACCTCACACACAACCATGTTGCAGACATACTCTATACAGACACAGTCATACTGCCAGATACTCACAGGTGCACATTTTCATACTGACACTCACACTTGCCATATACCCCACCCTCACATTCTCACCCACTCCCACTTTTTCACTTTCTTACACTCTCACACACTCAACAGTCACACTTCCACACTCATGTCCATACAGATGGTAGAATCACCTTTGACCCTCAAATTCCTAAAAATTAAAAAATAACTCACAACACCCATGTTGACTTTTCCCTGCCTGTTTGTCATACACTTCCACACATTTGCACTTGCACTATTTCCTCTTCATAGTCACATATTTACACAACTCATAACTCATCACAGGGACACACACATGTGCATGCATGTATATGTATTCCCACCATAAACACGATCTCACCCATTTAAATGCTTGTATTTCCTTGCGTTCCTACACTCAGAATTTAATGCTCTTGCACTCGTATACTCAGCACTGATGCAGTCTCCCTACCTGTCACACTCACACACGAAACTCATTTTGACATAAATTTGCATTCATATACCTAGCTTTACACTGAGACATAACAGCACTCTTCACCAAGCTCACAAGCATACATCCTCAGATACAACCACATGCACACAGTCACTCTTAGAAGCTCAGCCATTTTTGTGAATACATCCCCTGACCCTCACACTCATACATAGCCATACACTCAGGTATGTCACATTGACCAACACTGACGCATACACATGCTCACTCACATTGAGTACTCACACAGATTCACATTAACACGGGCACACTGCACACCCTGCTTACCTAGCTGCAGCCTCACATTTTCACATATTCTCACATTCACAAGCTCACACTCAAAATCATACACTTCCGCACGGCCACACTCCCTCACACTCAGGTACATTCACAGGTACACCCTTGAATGCTCTAGCTCCAATTTGAGCATCGCACATATTTGCACTGGCACAGACACACTCCCCACACACTCATTTCCACTCTTGTACCCTCATATGACACACCCCCACTCACATTGCCACACACATTCACATCAGCCACTGATCTGTGTTTACACTGGCACACAGCACAGTGACCCACGCCATGCCCATTGTTTCAGTCAGTTCACGTGGATACACGCACTCACACCCGGGCAGCTACTGATCCCACATGGGGCCACATGGACTCACTCACCCACCACATCCTCCCTTACACAGCCACACTTGCTCACATGGCCACCCAGTCACTGCTGCATAAACACACTGATTCTCACCTGACACACTCTCTCTGGATGCTTACCCGGGATCTCATGCCACCACTTCCACACTGACACCTACGTTGTCACTGACCTACGCTCCCTCACTGGGATGATCCCCCTTCCCCCATCTACTCACCTGGATTCACACGTGCTTACATTGACTCACACGCTCAGGCACACGCCCATCTGTACTTTCCCAATCCCTTATACATGCCCCACACTGAGAGTGCCACGTCCTCACACTTTCTCACTGGCACACACGTGGTAACACACCCAGGTGCAGGTAACAGTTCATAATCAACAGTCGTCACTTTTCCCCCCACTTGCTACTAGTGCTCTCCTCACCTCTGCTATAAGGTTTTCCAGCAACCTGTGGCCACAGAAAGAGTAGCATTGATGCCAGTACAACTAGATCTTTCTAGAACAGCAAGGAGTGGAGTTTATGTGTAGGGTTAAAAAGAAAAAACTGAGACCACAGATCAGGTGTAAGTCGTTTCACAGAAATCCTCTCTGGTAATAATAGCACCTGGGCCAGTCCTATCTAAAAGAGGCCGGGGTTTAGATGGCTTATTTTCTGGAAGTTTATGGTTTAACGTGCCACCTCATTTCTCTCCCAAGGGGCAGGGAAGGTAGAGGATATGTTTCTTTATGGACCCTTAATAGTTTCCTATGCACAAGTGTGTGTTTCTGATTTTATGTTTATGGTCTGGAATTGCCTGCTGATGAGACACATGGAAAGGGCAGTCCTGCTTCCAGGTACCTCTAATCTAGCCAGATCTGCTTTTACCCTGGTAGCCCTGGGACATGGTATCCAACAAAGAGAAAGAAAAGGTTAAGGAGCTAGCTGGGTGGTAAAATACATTTCTCTTGTGAGTGTGCATGTGCATACATAGCCCCACTAGAATTTTCACAGCTGTTACTAACAAATTAACACAGGAAATTCCTCAGTAGGCATGGATAAAGACAAGCTGAAGAAATTCACTTGCACTTCAGACAGGCTATAGATTTCCCCATAAGGAATAAGAAGTACAAAACCCAGACATGAACCAGGAGGTCAGGAGGCTGCTGCCAGGGTCCTGTGTCATCCCAGTTACCTACCAGAGATTCAGGAACATGAGATCACCTTGTAGAAGCCTCCCTAGTTCATGGCTTCCCCTTATGGAGTCTCTCTGGAGTAAAAATGAGTGAAAAATATGTCCCAGGCTCCCATTTGATACAGGTTTTGCCATACCATGGGGAAGAGCCTATACCCTGGAGTACCACCTACCCCCACCTGCACCTGCCATCAGAGGGCGAACTTCTTTGATAGTGGAGACCACATCATCTTACTTACTTTGGATTCCCAGTGCTAGCACAGTGCCAGGCCAGGAGCAGCTGCTTGGGAAACTCAATTAAGAAATTGAAAGGGGTGGATGGGCAGCAACATGTGGTCAGGACAGATCGGTGCCTCTTTTCCTCAGAATTCCAGTGGCATTACCAGCTTAGATTCTGTACCTCCTACAGAGCCGGCATAGTGCTAGCCCCAGAGGGAGATTCAAATAGGTGCAGGAAACATGTTCTGCCCTCGAGGTACTTTCCTTTGAGTGAGAAACATGAAGTCACCCTGGAGCAGTAGTACAAGGCAACAGTCTTAAAATTTGGAATTAGAGGAATCTTTATCATGTAATGCAGTGGTCTGCAGGCTCCAAATGCCTTGAGGACCCATGAGTGGCTGGGAAGAGCAGATAGGATGCAGGAAGTCACTTCCCAAAGCAAACCTCCTCAAAGACATCTTGCACAGCACAGGGCTGTGCCATCTTTTCAAAAGTGTGTGTAACTAAGCCCTTTATCACTCAGCCTATAGTAGAAGAAGGGAAGTGAGCTGTGGACCTCCTGCAGGAGATGGCTTTAGAGAAATAGCCTGGCAAAGTTACCTTTCATAG